ATTCTTGCTTATGAATGCCCGGCCTTAGCTTGATGTTTCTAGCCAACTTTTCTAACTTAATTTATTCTGTTTCCCACTAACTACATTTTACCTCTGGGCGTTTTACCTTTCTTTATTCTATAATCTCTCTTTCCTTCTTAATCCATGGCTGGCTGTGTGGTTGTAGGGCTGGCCCCTGGCATCCCCCTCTCCTCCTTTTCTTGTTCCTCCCCCTCTCTAAATTTCTCCTATTTATTCTCTCTGTATGCCAGCCCCACCTGTTTCTCTCTCCTGCCTACCTATTGGCTAATCCGCTATTTATTAGACCAATCAGGTGTTTTAGGCAGGCAAAGTAGCACAGCCTTACAGAGTTAATGGCAACATAAAAGAATGCAGCACACCTTTGCATCATCAAACAAATGTTCCACGGCTTAAATGAATGTAACACATCTTAAATTAGTATTCCACAGCCCAAACTATTTCAATCAGTAAATTCAAACTTTGGGGAAATTTCCCCAGATTTTCCTTATTATACTGGAAGTTAGTGCTAGAATAATTCCCCTTAAACACACTGCTTGTTAACTATAGTACCCTTTCTGCCTACAAGCCTGAGACAGCCAGAGTAATGAAATATAAAGTTGGGAACCTCAGTTTCTCTTTCCAGATTCATAGAGCGTGGTTAGTTATCCCAAGTAAGCTGCATTCACCCATCTCTGGGACATGGAAATTAATATCAACTGTGCAGACACTTTTTAAAAATACATTTTTCTGAGCCATATCCTTTGGGGTTCTGTGGGTCACTTGTGTCTCTAAAGGCCAGAATTGGCTGGGAACCTCTAGTCTTCCCCTGAATTGTGCAGAGTGTAGTGTGGGGATTGCCCAGAGTCGGTTCTCTTTATTTCCGTATTTATTATGGAGTGCATGTGTGTATGCATGGGCATCCTTGTGTTTCCCTGTGTGGAAGGATGAGCATACAGGCCCAGACCTGACATCAGGAGGCTTCCTTCTTTGCTCTCCTCTTTATTTGAGGCAAGGGCCCTGGTGACACAGTTGGCGACTCTATCAAGCTGTTTTGTCCCGATTTTCTGTTTCTGCCTTCTTAGTGCTGAGGTTGCAGGCTGACTGCTGTACCTACCTAGTTTTTATATGGGTCCTAAAGACCCAACTCCAGTTCTTTCACCTTGTCTCTTGAGTCATTTTCCTGGTCTTTTTTTTTTAATTTTTAAAAAATTGCATCTATCTATCTGTCCATCCATCCTCTACCTATCTTTCTTAAGAAACTGTGGACATAAGAGGACAACTCCTTCCACTATGCAATTCCTGGGGATCAAACTCAGTTCAGCAGGCTTGGAGGCAGGCACCTTTACCCGCTGAGCCACCTCATCAACTCCCTGGCCCTGTTTAACAGGCTCTTTGGGTGCTTTGTACGTGCATGGAAAAATGACTATCAGATCACAGAGTGTGTCTTAAAATAGTGATTCTCTAGTCCGTTCCCTTTAAAGTGCTGAGACAAGAGATCCACAAGGGAGGGCCATGGCATCCGTTTCATAGTAAACAATGTCAGGTCATTCTTGAGGATACTTTAGAAAGCATGCCTCTTTGGAGGCACCTTAAAGTGGGGTTTACCTGAATTCCGGCATTCAGGGAACAATATACAGATAAAACCAGAATGCAAAAAAAGTCCTTCCTGGGAAACTTTGGGAAAGTGGAATCGTGTTCAGGTTGGAATCATGTCGGCAGACGGTTATGGTGAAGCTCATGTTATTTAAGTAACGTTTGTGAGGTGGGGGTTTCAGTGGGGAGGAAAGACTGTGGCTACCAGATCAGGGCTCTTCTAAGGGACAACCATGTTTTCTTTAAACACAAAGCAATGCTTGTGGCTTGACAAGTAGCTTTACATGAAGTCTGGGTAACCTTCTGAAAGCCTGGATCAGTAAGGCAAGCTAACCCGACAGCTAAAAGAAACAGTTTACTATATGTGCGAGGAGTGAGGAGGGGTCCTATGTTGACGTGAAAGGGGCACTCTTGGGTGGGAGAAATGGCTCAGTGCCAAGAGTACAGAGGGCCTGAGTTTGGTTCTCCACACCCATATGGTGGAAGGAGTTGGCCTTTTACTTCCACAGTTTCTTGAGTGAGACGCTAGATAGGTAGGTAGGTAGGTAGATAGATAGATAGATAGATAGATAGATAGATAGATAGATAGATAGATGATAGATAGGTTGATGCCTTTGACCTCTGCAGGCACCTGCACTCATATGCATAAACTCATAGGCAGAGACATGTGTACACATAACCACAAAAACAACAGTAATTTTATTTTTTTACATAATTAAAAACCCAAAAAAATGTAAAGGAAATTCTCTCTTTGATGCTGTCATTTCTTTCAGTGATGTTCATCCACGCATCCCTGAGACTTCGAAACCTCAAGAACAAGCTGGAAAATAAAATGGAGGGAATAGGTTTGAAGAAGACGCCAATGGGCATTATCCTGGATGCCTTGGAACAGCAGGAAGAGAGCATCACCAAATTCGCTGACTACATCAGCAAAGCTCGGGAGTAAACCCTCCAGCCCGGTGACGGGGCCGGCAGCAGGAATCCAGTTGCACTTTTCCCTTGCTCAGACCCATTTTCTGTCTGTGGTTTTGAAACAGAAGGTGCACGTCTTACCATCCAACTCTCCACGGCATCATGCATGCACACGCCCACCTGTTAAGATCTCCACTATGACCCAAGGAAGGGCCTCGGAAACCACAAAAATACAGACCCACTGTCCCGTTATGCCTGAAGCTTCCAGTGTGTTTTTTGAAAGATAATTGCCGGTTGGACAGCAACGGTACTATTCTATTGTAGGGGAACAGCCATTGTAGCATCTGGAGACAATACTGAATAAGTGAAAAGTTAGTCACAGTAGAAGATGCCGTGTGTCCGTCTGTTTCTAACCCTGTCTGACATCCCCTCCAAAATCCCCTACGGCTATGATGTGTTGGGTATGTTAGGGTAGCGGTATTATCTTTCTTGTCTTAGAATCGGAGGTGATCTCTATCCCTTTGGCACCTGTTTGATGTGCGGTGGATACTGGATCAGCCAGTTGTTTATATTTTGTTTACGAATATGAAGTTAGCTGTTTAGGATAATGTTTTGTTAAATTTTTGTAAACTTTTTAAAAGGGTAGTAATACGCTTTCACCGGAAGGTATTTCTTGCAAACTAAACGTCATCCTCTTGGGGTGGGGGTGGAAGGGGAGTTACAGCTCTGTGACTTCCATTATTCTTGACTTGTTAAAAAAATAAATAAGTAAAACCAAACTTGAGTTGTTTATATGACACGTTTGTTACTACAATGAATAAAAGGTGTTCAAGATAATATTTCAATTATTTAGATTTTTGTTGTTGTTGTTTTGAGGGGGAGGGGGAAGTCGGGTGGTTTTCCCAGACAGGATTTCTCTGTGTAGCCTTGGCTGTCCTGGAACTCCCTTTGTAGACCAGGCTGGCCTCGAACTCAGAGATCTGCTTGCCTCTTCCTCCTGAGTGTTGGGATTAAAGACAGGCACCACAAGCTCTCAGCTTTTGTCTAGATTTTTTGCACATTTGTTTTTATTAGTTTAATTCGTGTGGGTGAGAGAGAATGCCACGTGCATACAGTGCCCACAGAGGCCAGAAGAAGCCATTGAACCTGGCGCTGGACATACCAGGTGGTTATGAGTTGGGTTCTGGGAACAGGAACAAAACTGAGGCACTCTGGAAGAGCAGGAAATGCTCTTAACCTCTGAGCCACCTCTCCAGACTCAGATGTTTGGTTTTTAAATAGATGAGCATTTGGAAAGAAAGAAATGAGTGTGTATCTTATTAATTCTTTATCTTTTGATCCTGCAAATCTTCCCTAGAGGACCATGGCAAGAGTTTAAAGAGCTCCTGTCACTTGTGAAGTTGCAGATAGCAACTGTGGCGGCCATGCACTTGTAGAATTAGAAGAGCTAGAATGGTGTGAGCATATGAATCTCATTGCACCCACCCCATCGTTGCTTATCTGTTGAGGAACAGATAATGAGAAATGGGTGTTTGCCAGTTTAGTGATTTTACAGGTGAAATAGAAAACATTTAGGTTTCCCTCTCATTGAAAAAACAACTGGTATAGTCTTTCCAAAGAGTCCCTCTGTGTGTTCTAAATAATCAGTGACCATTTTGGCCTCTTTGACATCTTGTGTTTTTAGTCTCAGTAAGTCTGAAGCCTTATTTTTAGCTCAGAACTTCAGGGTTTGGAATCTGTGGCATTAGCCAGATAAGAAGAATAAACTTTATCAAAAGCATTTTAGTGAAGCTTTAGTCAATCAATGCATGACAATGTATTAAATATCTAAGAAACTTGGTGCCAGCCTGGGAAAACTTCTTACAGTAGCTCAGACCCTGTGCATCTCCTAACTATACTGCATTACTAAGAACTGTGGGAACCGGGAAGTGGGGGAAAGATAGGGCTTGGAGATGTCTGGAATGTTTCTGCAGAGGAGATAGAACCTGCCATATGGTTGGGAAATTGGACAGGACCTTTATGGATGGTGAGATGTCTTGGGTTTTCCTGTGGAAAAGTTAGAGAGGATCTATACATGGGGTGTGTAGGAGGATGTTCTATCAAGAGGGAAGAGAGTGGATTGGTCCACCAGGTGACAGAGCATCTTGAAGCAGAGGGTGAGATGTTTAATACTGTAGATATGCTTCCTTTAGAAGGGTACTTCAAGGCACCAGTGAAGTCCACATGGGAAAACGCTGAGCAGAGTCAGCAGGCTAGGCTAATTAATTTTCACTGATGGTTTAACTGGATTTAGATTTACCTAGGGTACTCACCTCTGGGTATGTCTTTGGGGGACCTTCCAGAGAGGTTGACCTAAATGTGGATGGCACCATTCATAGCTTGGGGTGCCAGACTGAACACCACAAGAGGAGACTACTGAATACCGCATCTATCTTGGCCTCCCGTGACCAGTGTGGCCAGCTGCCTCAGGTTCCTGCCACCATGTCTTCCCCTCCATGATGGACTACCCCCTCAAACCATGAACCTTGAGGTGCTTTGGTCGGATATTTGGTTAGAGCAGCAAGACATGCAACAGTACGGTGAGACCTGAGGTTCCACTGGCTCTCTGGAGAACTAGCAAAGGGTCCTTTATTCCGAAGCTGCAGAAGGCCCAGGCATTCACTTCCCTCATGACACTCGCGAAGTTTGCAACATGGTTTATTCCCTTTAAGATGCCATGCAGTGGACGACAACAGAGAGGATGGAAGGAGGAGGGTGGAGTGGGAGTATAACCAACAGTTACAGCACTTCTGTCAGATTTATGATTTCCCAGAAGAAAGCAACAGTAAAGTGAGAGTTTACCAAAAATGTTAACTTCAGCCTCTAGGAGCATCACTCTGCACTTTTCACCCAACTCGGTCGAACGCGGAGAACTGGAGCATGTTGCCAGCGAACATAGATACTCTGCGTCCTTCCCCTGGAGTCTTATCAGGACCCAAACAAACCCCCAGCCTGGATGGAACCACGTTTCCAGTTCTGCCTCGCACGTTTAGTGAAACAGCCTCCAGCTCAGATTTTTGTTCTTCTAGATGATACTGCGGCTTCTTACGCCAGTTCCTTAGGCAGCTGTACCTGTGGTTTAAGCATTTGAAGAAGAGAAAATGAATCCTGGAAATTTTTGAGTTTTACAGCAAAAATTATAAAACTTATGTGTCTTTGTGGATGCAGAAGATGTTAGAAATGATGGCAGCAGAACTCTCCAAAATCATGATAAAGGCAAACCAACCAAAGCCATTATTATTGGGCATTAACTGACGCCAAGGCTTGTTTTAAGATCTGTGCTTCAGCCTCTGCTGAAGCAGAACACAGGAAGGACAGGCGCTCAGAGCCTGGTACCAGCATTTCCTAGCTGGTTGCTAGGTACTGAGCACCATTTTCCTCAGCTGTAAAATGACAGGAAGAATTCCCAGTCCATGAAGGAAATGATCAAGTTACATGATGGGGGTGAGTGATAAGCGTGGACACTTAACTTTCCAAAACATCAGCTCACTGTGTCCTACACCAGCCTTGCAAGAAGGAGAAGGGCCCTGAGGAGACAGTGACTTCCCTGAGGTCACACAGCTCGCACTGCTGAAAAGAGAGCTCAGCAGCGGAGAAAAGCTCTTGCAGAGGACTAGAATTCATTTCCTAGCACCCATGTCAGGCAGCTCACAACCGCCTGTAACTCCCGCTCCAGAAGATCTGATGCCCTCTTTTGGCCTCTGCAGGCATGAACACACACAAACATATGCACAACTAATATATGTATTCATATAATTAAAAACTCTGTGTGTGTGTTCTAGGGGCTGAGGATATAGCTTCATTACTAAAGTCCTTGTGTGGCAAACAATTTAGATCTCTACAAACCAAAATCCAAGTATGAAGGCACCAGAGAGGTAGGCAATGATCTCAGGGGCTCCCGGCCAGTTTACACACACACACACACACACACACACACACACACACACACACACGTCTATCCTTCTTGAAGCACATTTCTACTATAATGTACAATAAAATTTTAAAATAAAACATATTTCTCAGGAAACCAAAAAAGTAACACAATAAAAAGTGTATTTTGGTAAACTTCACCAGGACAAAAAACTGCAAAAGCCACACATCAGTCCAACTCTAAAAATCTATATCCAGTTTCTGTTGCATAGCAACAGCTTAAAGTTCTTAAAGGGTCTTAAGTGGTCTTCTGTCTTAGCAGGCGACTTGTCCATCATGTGTGCATTTTCCCCAAAGATGCTGATGGCGTTAAGAAAGCGCTTGGAATCTGTTAACAGCTGAGCATGCTTCCTCCCCCTGCCATGTGCCTCTGTCAGTGGGATGAGACCTCGTGGTGTCTGCTGTGTCTCCTCTTGCAGTCAGTTCTTTGTCTACGTTCTCTAGAGAGGAATGTCTCACAGTGCCCTGCCCTCCACAAGGGACACTGGATATCCCCTTCAGGCTAAGGGGAGTCCCCATGTGCCTCTGACCCTCTCCCCATCTGGTATCAGACTTCAAGAGAAAGGGTGTGGCCTGTGTCTGGGTTGGCCCTACCCATGGAAAACAACAATTAAGAGAAATGAGCAAAAAAAAAAAAAATACAGGGAATGCTTTAAATAGTTTGTAAGCTGCAGCAAAGAGCTTAAATGGTGTGATTTTTGTGTATGCTTGTACACACATGTATTTTAAATAATATTTAAAAATAGCAAAATGTGGGGCTATAGCATGTTACTCAAGCAGAAGAAAAAGTTCTGTTCCTAGCACCCACAGGGTGGCTCATAGCCATCAGGAACTCCAGTCCTGGGGAATCTGATGCTCTCTGATGCCCTCTGATGCCCTCTTCTGATCTCTGCAGGCAATAGGCACACACAGGGTGCACATACAAACAGGCAGGAAAAACATGCACACACATAAAATAAAAATAAGTAAGTCTAAAAATAAATAAAAGCAAAATGGAGCATTGGGCCACCAGAGGAACCAGACCCGAAATACCATGTTCCAAATAGGACCAAGCTGGCAGCTCAGACTACAGGACAAAGGGTTGAGTCACTGGATAATCATTAACTGCTTGGAAAAGAATAATAAATCATACATCTTGCATCATGCTTATTTTGGAAATTTTAACCCTTTAATTCATCCACTGCATCAAACATTTCGTGAGAAATCTGGGCCTATTAAAGTTGCAAGGAAAGACAAAGACATACGAAGTAGCCATTAGAGACACCATAGCAAAGCAAGTAGAAACCATCAAGGAAAAGATGGCCAGATTTGATGTCACAAAAGATCAAATTTGAGCTGGGTGTGGCAGCAAACACCTGTAATATCAGACTTTAAAGATGGAGGAAGTAGGAATATGAGTTCAAGACCAGCCTGGACAACTTAAGATTCTGTCCCAAAACTACAACAACAGCAGCGATGAATTTTAATTAAAGGTTAAAATATCAAAATCACAAGCAGGAGAAAAATCAATCCTGTTATTATTAGGGCTCCTTTCTGCTTAAGTTGTTAGTATAGTTATTTTTAAGTGTATTTGGAACAATTGAGCACATGTAGCTCTATACAGAAAGATTGTACGTGTACATACATGTGGGCGTGTGTACACACACAGACTGGCAGTTGTGGTAGAATTGTAAGATTTGTTTCTGTGTTAGTAATTAAGATACTTATCTTGAATCCAGCTGGATGCAATCCAACACCTGTGCATATCCAAATTAGAGAGAAGAAGATATGTACATATGCTTTAAGGAACTTGAGAGATGTACGCTGTGTACAGAAGAACCCTTACCCTGAAGCAGATAGTGATAGATGTATAAAAGGATTTACATTAAAAGGTAGTACATGGGATGGGTACTTCTGCTGGCTTGATTTTGTGTATAGGAACCAGTATTTGATATGAAACTTGGAAACTGAATCGATTTCACTGGGTAGAAGAAAAGATTATCTGAGGTTATAGTGTCCCATGGATGCTGTAAAGTTGTGGTCACTGAAATATGTTCCCTCAAATAAGCAGCATCAGCATCACTAGGGAGCTGGTCAGAAGAGGGCATCCCCCCTCTAAAACCTACTAAGCCAGAGACTCCAGAGAAGAACCCAGAAATGTAAATCAAATCTGGAGAAACCACTACATAGATTTTTTTAAAAAAACTGTATGCAGACATGCTTTTCCTGTGAATACTGGCGAGGCTTTGGCCCTTGTCCCCTCTGCTGATCTCATTAATTTTTCAAGGAAGTAAAAAGGCTGTCGGAGGTTAGTCAAAGATTTTTGAACAAGCGTGTGTGAGAGGCCAATACACCAAAGGCCACTGTACAAGAAGCAACATGGCAAGGCCTGCACAGAGAACCTGTACTGAGAACAGACTGAGGAAGGCATTTAGAAACCCTGGATTATCCAAAGGGGAGGGACAGTCAGGGGGCTGGCCTTCTGAAACTGACACAGAAGAGAAGGTGGGGGAAGGGAGTTCATAAGAGGACAGATGTGGTGGTAATTTTGTTTGTGATCTAACAAATACAGATAGCCTGAAGATCAGAGTGTGGAGCTAAGCCAATAGTTAGCCATAGAGGCCAGGCAGAGGTGTCGCACACCTTTAATCCTAGCACTGGAGAGGCAGAGGCAGATGAATCTCTATGAGTTCAAGGCCACCACAGGCTAACTGAGATTGATCAAGTCTAAAAGAGAAACTGAGCCAGGCGGTGGTGGCTCACACCTTTAATCCCACCACGAGGAAGGTGGAGACAGAAAGAGATATGGCTGGGCAGAGAGAGGAATATAAGGGGGGAGGAGACAGGAGCTCAGGGCATTCAGTCTGAGGATTCATAGAGACAGGTAGACCCTTTTACTCTCAGGTAGAGGTAAGAACATGGCTGCTCTGCTTCTCTGATCTTTCACTTTTCACTCCTCATAGATGCTTCTGGATTATTATTATTATTATTATTAAAGACCAATTAGAATTCATGTTACAGACAGAAATCAGAGAACCTTGAGAAAAAGAAGATTTTACCGACGAAGCCAAGTGTGGGCGGGGACAGAGATGAATGCTCATATCTGTCATCTTAAACTGTGCAACTGCTTGTGTGAGCCAGGCCTGCATATGATGCCATCTAGCTGAAGTCTCTCTGGAGGGGAAGCTTGGCAACGCTATTCCACTGCCCACTCGGCTGGGAACAGTCTAGACGTGCGGGTGAGCCCAGAGTGAAGAGGGAGTGGTACAGTCGCCTTGTTGGCAGAAGAGCTTGGCTTTGCTCTGCAGGTGCTCGGCTCCAGTGAATTAAGTAGTTGCCGAGAATGGGAATCTTATCTCAGTGAAAGGCACTAAGGTTTCTCTGGAATGGTAGGTGGTAAAAGAATCACAAAAATTTTAAGATAGATTGATGCCATAAAGTTGTGGTCACTTTGTGTGCATTTGTGTGTGGGGGGGTGGACTTTCTTTGTGTTGGCATCAGAGTGACTGACAGTTATCAACCTGCAGGGAACTGAGTTGGTTGTTATCTAAGGAATGTGCTTTCATGGCCAAGACATTAAAAATGAGTGCAAACTAAAAACTTCTTCAGAAACAATAAATGTAAATGAAGCAAGGTGGTCGGGAGGCAGCGAGTATGGGAGAAAAACTGGAGAAGCTATTTCTCATCCTCACAGAAGCCACAATGCAGAAGGAGCTGGTTGGAGAGCATTTGTCTAACATGTGCAAAGTTCTGAGTTCAAGTCAGGCAGTGATGGTGCACACCTTTAATCCAGGCACTCTGTGAATTCAGGCCAGCCTGGTGTACAGAGCAAGTTACAGGACAGCCAAAGCTAAACAGAGAAACCCTGACTCAAAAAACCAAAAAGGAAAAAAAAAAGCATCGAGTCCAATGCCCAGTAAAATGCACACACACACACACACACACACACACACACACACACACACGAACTCTCACACAGGTGCACAGACACACGCACACCATTTTTGCCATGCACATGCAGGCCTTGAATGGCTGGGTCTAATATTTCAGTGGTGTCAAAAATGTGCATGTTTTCTGTGACATTTAGAACTTACAAAATAGAGCCTAGTCCAACTAAAGCAGGTCTAAAGTCTGGTTTATAGCTACCAGTTTTCAAGACGTGA